GGTAGGTTACTGAGACTGTCCATATTTAACGATCACTTCACTGCAGTGTACATTTATGTACCATCAGCATATTGATGGCATTTGATATCATGCGATGAGATGGCATCGACGATTGGAGAGACATATGTTTAAAATTGGAAGGGCCCAAGGACGGACCCCTGTGGTCCGCAAAACATATGTACGGCATAGGCGATGACTGTTCGTCACCCAGCTTGATATACTGTGATCGACCATGTAGGTATGACTCAATCAACCCCAGTGCTGTACCCGATACACCGGACCTTGATCTTAGCCACCCAATGAGTATCTCATGGTCGATGGTGTCAAGGCGCCTGGGAGATTGAGGCCAACCGATGCTGCGGCGCACCAATCATCCATGATCTTGTAGAGGTCATCAGAGATCTTTAGTATTGCCTTATAAGTACCGTGGAACTTCTGGTAAGCCGACTGCAACGGGTTGAATCTGCTCGTCGCAGCGACATGGGGAAGTAACCACTTCGGACAGAGGAGCTCTATGACGTTTGAAATCGTACTCGGGCTTGAGATCGGGCGATAGTTTGCGGGGTCACTTTGGCTCAAGCCAACTTTCAGTAGCCGTGTTTGCTGCGCCATTTTTAACCGGTCTGGAACACAGTCCTCGCTGAATCAAAGATTTTCCAGATGGACAATTAGCGGTGCAAGCAACGTTCGAGCATGATTCAAGAATCAACGTGTGGATGTAGTTGAGTGGCGATGTTTTATTTGGCAGCAGTGTGATGAACATCGACACCTCTGCCACCGACGTTGGTGCCAGGGTCTCGAATTTTGCATCGCTTCCAGGTTGATCAAAGCTCAGATGACAGAACGGGAGAATGCATTGCCTTCAAGTTAGAAACTGCCATCTTGATCGTCACTATTTTATTGGCGAAGAACATCGCAGGACCTCTGTACAGACCGGGATGACTCGTTGATGGGTGGTTGGAGTACAGCAAACACTTCATGACGCGCCGCAGATCATGGGGGTCGCGAGGCTACTTATTGATACAGAGAGCATAGAAAGATATGCGAGACTCAATAATGTCAGTTGGCAGATCTGCTGGCCACTCTATAAGTGACTCAAAAAGTCTCAAAACCAGTTTTCAGCCGATCAGCACCCCCTTCTGCACGTTAGATGCTGGCCGAGTCTGCCAACACAGGTTCAAAAGCAGAGCCTTAAACTCCTCCTGTGAGTAAGTAGCACTCACCAGATCATCAGCATATGTAACATGGTTGACCAATTGGGAGCTATGCCTTGACCGTACCCGGGTATCGATCAGCCTCCCATTGTATCTGCACAAGATGGAAATTCCTCCAGTACAGCCATCGAAGGCTTCACGAACTACATGGTTGACGTAGATGTTAAATAATGTGGGAGCCAGATTACATCCCTGTTGCACCCCAAGGTGAACAGGGAATGGTTCCCACTCCCAGCCAAGCAGATTTACCCGGGCCTGCCCACCATCATGAAGGTCCTTAATGATTGCGAGTCAGGGACTCCGAAAGCACGTAGAACAACCCAGAGCCCAGGCCTACTGATGGTATCATAGGCCTTGACCAGGTCATTAAAGCAGAGATGTAGGTCCTGTTGGAATTCCCTACACCTCTGCTGTAGCAGACAGAAAGAAAAATCGCGTCTGTGCAGGACTGCCTGGGCCTTGAAACCACAATACATAACACAGTGTATAACACACGATGCAAAACATAGCATGCAATACACAGTTACCCGTGAGTGAAAGCGAGCAGGCGGTAGGGCGAGTGAGAGATCTCCTTCTGCTTGATCAAGTAGTGTAGAGAACCACTTTAAAAGTTAAATTATGCTGATTGCTCAATTGGGTTTTTACATTAAATAAATTATCGCCTCCAAGTGGCGCCGAGTCACCGTATGCAGCTCAGGGACAACTTCCACCGGTGGTGCCCTATGAAATGTGGCACCGCGGTGGCGATATGTTAAGTACCTCACCTGGTATACAGGAGGTCGTGGGTTTGATCCCGACCCTGACGCCGGCTGTATATTTGGAGTTTGCATGTTCTCCCCGTGGTCTCGTTGATTTTTGTCCAGGTCCTTCAGTTTTCCCTCCTCATGTAGAAACACACGTTTCAAGTATTTGGCTGCTATAAAACATTTCGACATGATAAGCCACTTCCGTAGAGCTATCATTTGTTGCCAGGTCGCTTCGGATTTTACCAGGTACAGTGAGGGAAAAAAGTATTTGATCCCCTGCTGTTTTTGTACGTTTGTCCACTGACAAAGAAATGATCAGTCTATCATTTTAATGGTAGGTTTATTTGAAAAGTGAAAGACAGAATAACAACAACAAAATCCAGAAAAAAACGCATGTCGAAAATGTTATAAATTGATTGGCATTTTAATGAGGGAAATAAATATTTGACCCCTCTGCAAAACATGACTTAGGACTTGGTGGCAAAACCCTTGTTGGCAATCACAGAGGTCAGACGTTTCTTGTAGTTGGCCACCAGGTTTTCACACATCTCAGGAGGGATTTTGTCCCACTCCTCTTTACAGATCTTCTCCAAGTCATTAAAGTTTCGAGGCTGACGTTTGGCAACTCGAACCTTCAGCTCCGTCCACAGATTTTCTATGGGATTAAGGTCTGGAGACTGGATAGGCCACTCCAGGACCTTAATGTGCTTCTTCTTGAGCCACTCCTTTGTTGCATTGGTCGTGTGTTTTGGGCCATTGTCATGTTGGAATACCCATCCACGACCCATTTTCAATGCCCTGGCTGAGGGAAGGAGGTTCTCACCTAAGATTTGACGGTACATGGCCCCGTCCATCGTCGCTTTGATGCGGTGAAGTTGTCTTGTCCCCTTAGCAGAAAAACACCCCCAAAGCATAATGTTTCCACCTCCATGTTTGATGGTGGGGATGGTGTTCTTGGGGTCATAGGCAGCATTCCTCCTCCAAACACGGCGAGTTGAGTTGATGCCAAAAAGCTCCATTTTGGTCTCATCTAACCACAACACTTTCACCCAGTTGTCCTCTGAATCATTCAGATGTTTATTGGCAAACTTCAGACGGACATGTATATGTGCTTCCTTGAGCAGGGGGACCTTGCGGGCGCTGCAGGATTTCAGTCCTTCACGGCGTAGTGTGTTACCAATTGTTTTCTTTGTGACTATGGTCCCAGCTGCCTTGAGATAATTGACAAGATCCTCCCGTGTATTTCTGGGCTGATTACTCACCGTTCTCATGATCATTGCAACTCCACGAGGTGAGATCTTGCATGGAGCCCCAGGCCGAGGGAGATTGACAGTTCTTTTGTGTTTCTTCCATTTGCGAAAAATCGCACCAACTGTTGTCACCTTCTCACCAAGCTGCTTGGCAATGGTCTTGTAGCCCATTCCAGCCTTGTGTAAGTCTACAATCCTGTCCCTGACATCCTTGGAGAGCTCTTTGGTCTTGGCCATGGTGGAGAGTTTGGAATCTGATTGATTGATTGATTGCTTCTGTGGACAGGTGTATTTTATACAGGTAAGAAACTGAGATTAGGAGCACTCCCTTTAAGAGTGTGCTCCTAATCTCAGCTCGTTACCTGTATAAAAGACACCTGGGAGTCAGAAATCTTTCTGATTGAGAGGAGGTCTAATACTCATTTCCCTCATTAAAATGCAAATCAATTTATAACATTTTTGACATGCTTTCTTTTGGATTTTATTGTTGTTATTCTGTATCTCACTGTTCAAATAAACCTACCATTAAAATTATAGACTGATCATTTCTTTGTCAGTACGCAAACGTATGAAATCAGCAGGGGATCAAATACTTTTTCCCTCACTGTAAGGCTCAGTGGGCCTTACCTGCTAAAATAAAATAGTTTAGTTTCAAATGAAAATGTGCTTGAGACGAGTGGTTGAAAATGTGCCACTGTTGCTGCTGAATTAATCGCGCTACTTCTTAGCCGAAGCGATTCACCCCCCTGCCCCATTTCCCCCAATGACCCCACCCCGCTCCATCCCGCATCAACCAACGCCGAGTCAATACATTGTCACGAGTCATCTATAATTAATAGTACGCTTCTAGTGGCTGCAAAGGTGACATGAACCCATTGCACATGGCAGGTACACGCGGGGGTTACATTCCTAGAATATGCCGTGTTGGGCAAAACGGCATTTGACAAATAATGAATTGACCTTGTGGGATTGGGATACATAGGGTTGCGTTCCTGGGTCCGAAAGCATCACTGCCTCTCTCTTCAATGAACTAATTCTACATGATCTCTGCCCTTGTGATGCTGAGTCGCTCTCAATGTATTGTGTGTGTGTGTGTACACTCTTTATTTGTCAATTTTACATTACTCCCCCACCCCCTCTCACTTACTCTTCCCGTACTGCAGCGCTCACGCCCGACACTCGCCCCTAACACTGTCACCTGGACGTGAATGATTCACCATCGAGGCGTCAGTCTGACGAGCATCCTCAATGACTGGACGGCGAGACGCAAGCTCTAATGCGTGAACACTTGTGTTATGCCATTGTGCAGTTGGCCGTGAGAATGTCGATGATTCGTCATCTAGGCGTTCGTATGATTGACGTCTTCAACGAGTGGACAGCTAGATGTATGCGGCAACGTTTGAACATTTGCATTGCGCTGTCATGCAGCGCGTGTTCCATTGTAACCCAAAAAACATAAATGCAGGTAATTACATACATGGTAAATTCATCGTTCTCACAGTCGATTCATTCACAACTTCCAACAGATGTAGGGATCTCACGGCACTACTTTTCGACGTGGAGATGAGATTCTTAGCAGCGTAAAACCGTGTATGGCTGAAACATCACAACCATGTTTCGGAAAAAGGACCTCATTAGGTGAACAGTGTATAGCCGAAACGTGCTTTCAACAAAGATGCGTTGGGCAGGTTTTTCCTGTATGCACGAGTACATCGTAAGCCTAAGAATCAATGTTATATCACAGATACATCAATCTGCCCGTCACGTTTCTATATGTCCCCCCCCCCCAGCCCCTGCCACAGGAATGTGGAGATTCCACGAATATCTCAAGACTGTTAAACGTGAACTGCTCGTTTGATATAGAAGCATTTTGGAACATTTTTCTTTATATTCACCGCATCCAGTCTTCTGAACTAAATCATTCCGTGGCCCTTAATTAAGAGGACCTCCTCTAAAGAAGATTAATCTGATCGCTGTTATTTCTGGACGAAAATATGATGGAAGCAAACTCTACTCTGGGCGAATGTCACGTGCCCTTCCTCGAGTTCAACTGTACAGGCCCAGGTCTCGAGCCGACGGACCAGGCCTTGGTGCTGTCCATTTTGATCCTCTTCATCGCGGCCACCATCATTGGTAACCTCCTCATCGTTTGCGCCGTGCTCCGCTTCAGGCAGCTGCAGACCCGCACCAACGCGGTTACGACATCGCTGGCAGTGGCCGACCTGATGGTGGGCGCCGTGATCATTCCCTGCAGCATGACGCACGAGGTCTACAGGTGCTGGTTTTTCGGACAGACCTTCTGCAGGATCCACTACTTCATGGACTATTGGTTCACCAATGCCTCCATCCTCCACCTGGGCTGCATCGCCTTCGACCGCTACGTGGCCATCTGCGACCCTCTGCGCTACCAACAGCGGGTGACCAACCACACGGTGGTGCTCATGCTCCTGATGTGCTGGCTGTGCTCGGCGCTCTTCTCGGCGCCCATCCTCATCAGCTTGAGTGACGTTTTGTCAAACGGGGTCATGGATCGGACGTCTTGCCCTGACGAGTGCGTGTTCATCGTCAACTTGGGCCTCACATTTCTCATCGGCATTTGCCCCTATTTCTTGTCCCTCTTCATCCTGTCCCTGGCGTACGCCAAGATCTTCAGGGTGGCTCGCGTGCAGGCCAGTCAGATTCACGCTGCCGGTAAGCACGGCGCTGACTCCTCTTCCTCCGCCTCCATTGTGGGGGACGCCAACAGTAAACGCACGTGGCTGGCCATGAAGCGCGAGCACAACGCGGCCAAGACCCTGGGCATGATCATCGGCTTCTTCCTGCTGTCCTGGCTGCCCTTCTACGTCATCAGCGTGGTGGACGTCATCATAGACTACCAGACGAACGCTGTGCTCCGGCGGACGGTCACGTGGGTTGGCTACTTCAGCTCGGCGGTCAACCCCGTTCTGTATGCTTCGTTCAACCGCCCATTCCGCAACGCATTTCGTGACATTGTCAGTTGCAGGGCCTTCGCAGTGGGGGCACGGAATAAGGACCTATTTGGATCGTAGCACATATCAGGGGTGCCCAAACTTTCCCAAGGCGCGAACCGGCTAAGGAGCCAGATATTTTTCAGGGATCCATGCCCAGTGAGACAGTGAAAAACCGTGCTCGCTTGTGACCTCGAAGTCAGAGGATGCACAAGTAAAAATGCTTACCAAGAAACAGGGTAACATTACACATTGTGGAAGTCATGTTATCAGAGGAGCATACCTTTGGATGAATGAGTGCAGTACGCAGTGCGAAGATGCAGTTGGGCAAACAGACACAGAGACACGGAGACACACATAGACACAAACAAAACAACAGGAATACACTCGCAGACACTCAGAGAAATAAATACATTCGTGGACACATGCACTCACAGACAGACATCTAGACACAGACGAAGACATGCACACTCACACAGTTCGGAAAATTGTCGTCACGGATTTTTACAGTACCACTTGATTTCCCTGCTCTCAAAAAGAGACGAGTATGAACCACGGATCGTGAATTCTCTCAGGTACAACGCATTCCGTTCCTCCCAACCGAACTTCGAAGTGAGTGCGGCACCGTGGAGTGAAACAGGTTGAGAAACAATGCAGGAACCATCACCACCACCAGAACTACCACAATGCAAGGGCGAGGTGATGCTCAGGAGGAGCACGTGGGTGCTCTCTGGTCCAGACCTTTCCACACACAATTAGGGGAGTGAAATGTTCGAATTTATTTCGAATTAATATAGTGGTGATTGTATCTATCGTGCGTTTTATTGTCAAATATATGTAGGGCCATTATTCTATTAGTTTATGAAAGAAACAATATTTACATTCCAATGTGCTTTACAGTGCGACCCACCGCGATATCTCTTGGGACCCCACCGTGACCCCACTCCACCAGTGGGTCGTGACACCACCAGTAGGTCATTTCCCATAATTTTAGAACCGCTTCATATAAATGAATACGTATGATTATTCCACCATGATGTTCAATCTCCCGGCAAGGCAGCTGACACTACGGACACATTTCTTCAACCCACCCACCCCGGGCGGTCGACCGGTGCACCATGCAGGTCGTGTATGGTGGGTTAAATTTTGGTTAGCTCTCACCTTTTCCAAGCGTGTAAGATGACATTCCTGCAAAATAATCTCCAGAGGGGCTCTCGAGAGCTACCTCTAGTGGAAGCCCTTCAGCCAGTAGTGGTGTAGGCAAGGAATTGCAGGGTTATACATTCAGCTTATATAAATACATATACAGTACTTCCTTTAATTTATTTGACAAAATATAAAGTTTTTAAGTTCACCAGGTTGCTAAGAGACCAGGGCACCGAGCAAGCAATGAATTAGAATGATGATTTTTGACATGGCGATGTTGATCACAACAGTGGCGCTCACTGTAATTATGCTGCTTTGCTGCGATATCACATTTCACGATACCATACATTAAAGGTGGAGGGAAATATCATAGGTTGGAATAGCTGGAGGGACTCTAGCCTGGATAGTCAAATACCTCCTGAATGTGGATGGGAGGCGCCTGCCTTTTGAAAAAGTACTGAACAATTGTAATATCCCTTCACTCTTATTTGTTTTAGATAATTACAGATTAGGGGATGCCATTACATGATAAAAACCTAGACACACCAATTCGCCCAATCATAAGCTGGCTGAAGACGCCCATAGTCAGCCATAGATCATCCGAGGCATACCGGCTCAGGGAAGAGGATTCTGTCAGTTGAACACGTAGGCTTTCGCCACCAACATCATACGTAATATAGGTTTTTGGGTTAAATCGCATAAATATAAATGTGTCGTTAAACCCGCAACCACCCGACAACCTATTAGTAAGATTTGTTACGGAAACAGAACGTGGCCAATTCGTTCCTAGTACAGCACACCGGTGTGTTGGAGAGCAAATCCACAACATTCACAATCTGAGTACGATGTTTTTGCCAGTAATTACAACGAGTTTCATCAGGCGACAGTGGAGACATCCTGTTTCGTTTCTTAAATAGGATTCTGTCATTAGACAGGCAACTAACAAATTGTGGCAGAGGTTTGAGTACCGTGAGATTTCACCACAGACCTGAAGGTGGACATGACGTTCTCCGACAGTGGGCCTACGAACCCCCCTCCCCCCGTCCCCCCCAACCCACTTAAGCTTATCCAGTATAAAATGTACGCATGGAGCACACCTGACCAAAGAAAAAAGAGCGAAATAGATGGAGATTCCACCTAATTGCCCACAGACGTCCCCCGGGTATAGTGCAGTTATATTCCAATGCCTTCTGGCCACATGGACAGGTTGGGAGATAGGGATCGATAGAGAGGGATCAAACCCCTCAGAGATCGGTGACGAGTTCCGGAGGTGTGCATGGTAAATATTAATACACACCGGCCCCCTCCCCCCTCCCTCCATTTAAGTGACACACTTTACCCCTGTCATTAGGCCCCTAGTTTATGGGGGCAGTGGGCCCACTCCACCGTCGTGTTCCCTCCCTCCTAACAAATGGCCCAATTGCGTCCTGAATGTACCATTTGAATTATGTAGTCGGACCGAACGAGTCTCGTGGTGCACCGTAACGGGATCGTGCATTATTGAATTGAAAAAAATGGTGATAGTCGCGTAAAATTTCACAATATCTAGGCATGTGTTGGTGCCACAGCAATGGAGCAACTCCGCCGGCGCTGCTACCTCCTCGAACCCCTCCACACGAACGCACGCACACCCCCAATGAACACACACACCCACGTAGGGTCTCGTGGGGGGTCACCTGGTACCATGGGGTTTTACCCGAGGGGCCCCTAGCGGGGATGTCCCACGGTTTTGCCAGTGCCAGGAGATTGGCCGACTCCCCCAGGCCGAATTGCATTGCGGCCCCCATGAATTAGGTTAAAATTGTATGGGCACGACGAAGCTCACCGAGCGGACCGCAATGAGAACACTCAGCACAGAGAGATAGGGTCTCGGGGGCAAACACCCACCGAGCAGCACATAAGAGGAGGTGGGAGGGAAATTCCTGAAGCGACTGAAGCTGGGCATCCGCGGGACGGCCACCCCGACCCAACTGGTTGTGGCCGGGGTGGGGAGGATGGGTGCGTAAACAATGGGTGAAGGCGCTCCGGAGGCACCGCTCCAGGCAAGGGCGGGGCATCGGTTTAAAATTTAAAGGTAGGCGCCCAATTGGCCATGCAGGGTAACACCACGTGACCCTGAATTTTTGGATTCCGAGGGGACAAAGGGAGGGAAGGGAAAACCTTTGGGCAGTGCTCCTCCAGCCGTCGAGTTACTCGGTCAGACTCCCAGCCGCTCGCAGCGTCCGAGGGACACTGGCGAGTGCAGCTACGACTCGACCCCAGGCAGAGACCTCTCGTACCCTCGTCCCTCCAACTCCCACCACGTCCGTGCAACACCATGAGTACATCTGCGAGGTGGGAAGTAGGGGGAGAGTACACTTAGGGATTGAATAGGGATAGGATAGGCACTCTCGTTGGGTCTTTACTCCGAGCTGCCCAGGGCTTGCTATTGATGCGCCATTAATAAACTTTAGCACAGAGGATCCATGTTGTGTGATTTCTTTGTGTGTGGGGAGAGCATAGGTGTGGTGCGAGTACGTGCGGGCATGTGAAGCGCGCGTATATTATCATCAATACGGCCGTCGTTTTGCCCGCGTGCCTGTGCCTGCGTGCGTGTTTGCACAGCGGAATGAAGCCGATCCCACAGGAGGGGGGAGGGGCGTGTGCATATTTATACAGCTATTTTTAGCGCGAGCCGTGGTGAGCGAAGGTGCGGCTCCTCGGGCACGCGCGTGCACGCAGCCACTTCCGCATTAATGGTGGTGTACGTGGGGAGTGTGTGGGATAACTCCAGGCAGTGGTGACTCAGCCACTAGCCATGTCCCTCAGAGAGGACGCTGGTGCGGGGAGGCCGATCACTCGATCGGCGGCAGCCCGGCGCGAAGGGGCCAAGAAGAGGGGAAAGAGGAGGAGGGGGGCGCTCGCCCCCACATAATGGTGTCAGAAGTGGTACGACCCCCCACACGTCCAAGGGAGAGAGGCACCCCACCCCAAGCTAAGGTAAGATGGTTATTCACCGAGCAAGGGATTCCGTCATGGAAGTCGTTTGCCCACAACCTCACATACGTGAAATATATTAACAGCTGGACGGACGCGCAAGCGTTACAACAGCTGAATATGCATTTGGATGGCCGGGCAGCCAACTTTGTAGAAGCAATACCCACAAGCACGCCAGCGCAGTGGGGGGAATGAATACGCCGACTCGACCAACGCTTCAGCGCACAATGAGGAGGAGGCGAAGGCGGAATTAGATGCACGCTGACGCGCTCGCTAACGCGGAGCGCACGCCCGGGGTATGCTGTGGAAATAATTGAGGACCTCACCGCCGAGAAGGTCCAGCGATATCTGGCTGGCACCTCGTGGTAGCAGCCTGATGTAAGCTGCGCGCATCTCCCATTTAACACCCTTGTTGAGCACGCACGTGCATGCGAGAGACTCGCCAGTGAGCACGCGCAGGAGCAGCTCATCAGGATGGTAAAGGGGGAAGCGAGGGAGCCTCCGGCACCCTGCGAGACAGCCCCAGGATGGGTGGCGGGGCTATAGACTGGCATAGGATATATAGCCTGATGAAACTCGACTGTCGGGGGCATCTCGTGAGATCGCCCGCGCTAGACACGTGCCAGGGTTCAATGACAACGCCTCCTAGAGAGTGGACCAACTAGGGGTGCAATCAGCACGGTCCCGACACAAATAGACGATAATAATAATGGTGAGCGAGTGACTTCCACGCAGATGCCGACAACAACACCCAAAGGACGTGGCGACTGTGGGCGACTGGCTGCGGGAGCTGGTGGCGGGAATCACGGAGGCCATATCGCTGGTGGAAGGACAGGTAAACGGGCAGCGTACCCGGATTCTGTTGGACACGGGGGCGGTAGCCTCGCTCATGAGTGCGGCACACTGCAACGTGGTCAGCGTTGACGTCGGCCGCCTACAGGCCCCGGACCGCGCGTTGCACACGGTGAGTGGAGCCGGGATGGGACTGCTGGGGAGGGTCACCGTGGAGGTCCGTCTCGGACGCCAGGTGTGTGACTAAGAATTCCACGTGTCGAGCGTGTTGTGCCATGAGTCTATTGCAGGTACCGACCTCCTGGAAAAGTTGGGGCTCAATGTACAGCCCCGCCAGCGATGCGCAACCGTGGAAGTCAGCGGGGAGCAGATTCCGTTCCTGAGACAAGAGCCAGATCGCTCCTGCTTCACACCCTTGGCCGCTACCCTGGTGTCGGCCGTTACCATCGGGCCACTCGCGGAGATACTGGTGCCGGTGGCAACACCCTCCACCGACCCCGCACACCAACCATTGGGTGAGGTAATGCTGACTCCTCACCCGGAGTTTGCGGCACGGCATGGAGTTATGGGGTCAGCCACGCTAGTAAACACGGACGGGGGCCGAATGTTTATGCGAGTATTTATCCCCCACAGTACCCCGGCAATGCTGTGATGGCGCACCATCCCTGCCTCTCCAAGGACAACCAGGACATGGCCTGGCGAGTTGGTCCGACTCCCAGGGCAGAGGTCGTCCCCCTGCTTGATGCGCTACACGTAACCTGGGCAGATTTACCCAAGGGGGAGGCTGATCAGCTGCGCGGGTTATTTCGGAAGTACGCCGATGTGTTCAGTGAGCACGATTCGGATGTGGGCCGGACAAACCTCGTCAAGCACCAAATTGACACCGGTGCCGCCTGACCCATTAAACTCCCCGCATACCGAGTGGGTGCACCTGAACGGATTAAAGAGGTAGTCGTGTATATGCTCTGAGATAACATAATCCAGCCCTCAGCGAGCCCCTGGTCTGCCCCGGTTGTACTGGTGACGAAAAAAGATGGGTCGACCCGGTTTTGCATTGATTGTCGAGAGGTGAACGCAGTTACCCTCAGCGACACCTTCCCCATCCCCCACATCGATGACACCTTAGACAGCCTCGCAGTGGCGCGGTATTTTTCCACCCTCGATCTAGCGTCCGGGTACTGGCAGGTGGAGATGGCGGAGGAAGGATCGGCCAAAGACCGCATTTACCACTCCGAAAGGATTGTTCGAGTTCCGAGTGCTTCCATTCGGACTCAATAATGCACCTGCGACATTCCAGCGGTTGATGGAGTTGGTGATGCGGGGCTTGCAATGGGAGCAGTGCTGTATTTACCTGGATTACGTGATAGTGTTCAGTAGGTCCCTGTCTGAGCACTGGTCCAGGTTACTGGAGGTGTTCGAACGACTGCGAGCAGCCCATCTCAAGCTCAAGCTGCGTGTCATATTGCGCAGCGCAAGGTTTGGTACCTCGGACACAGCGTCAGCGAGGCAGGGGTGCACACTGACCCAGAAAAGGTACGTGCCATAGTGGAATGGCCACGGCCAAGGAACCTGATGGGGATCAGGTCATTTTTGGGGCTAGCCACTTATTATCGTAAATTTGTGAAGGTATTCAGCGAAATTGCACGCACCCTCACCCAACTCACTTCCCCTAAGAATCCCTATCAGCGGACGGATGCCTGCCAGACGGCCTTCACCACCCTCAAGGACCACCTCAACCATACCCCCACCCTGGCTTTCCCTAAGTTTTCCACCGATTTTATTTTGGACACCGACGCCTGCAGCAGTGGGCTGGGCACAGTGTTTTCACAGGTGCAGGATGGGACAGAGCGGGTCATCGCATACGCCAGCCGGACCCTGGGTGGAGCCGAACTGAATTATTGCGTGGCCCGTCAGGAACTGTATTTCGTGATATTCGCGTTTAAGCAGTTCCGGCCATATTCATATGGCAGGAAATGGTGCGTGCGCACTTACCATTATGCTCTGCAGTTCCTCCTCACATTCAAGGAACCGCGGGGGCAGATGGCCCGGTGGCTGACGCAGCTACAGGAGTATAACCTGCAAATCGAGTACAGGGCTGGGCGGATGCACGCAAACGCGGACGCCTTGTCAAGGCGACCCACAGTGTGCGCCGAGACGAGGGCGGAGGAGGCCTGCCCATGCTTCATGGGGGGACGCTGCCGACAGGCAACGGCCCCCCTGGAGCGTCCTGAGACTAACCCCCCTCCGCTGTTAGAAAGTGCCGTGTGTGTCACAGAGGTCCCTGCAGAAGGAGCCAGGCAACCAATGGACCGTCCGGCGGGCACGGAGCCCACAACCCGGGGCCCGACGGGCCACTCAGCCCCGCCCGGTCAGATCCAAGAGGACGTCGGCTGTGCATTTCCGGGCCTGGATGACGAGCAGCTGAGACAGGCCAAGCAGCGTACATTATCGGGGGAGGGGGGGGGGGCGCGTGCATATTCATACGGCTATTTAGGCTATTTTTACCGCGAGCCGTGGTGAGCGAAGGTGCACCTCCTCGGGCACGCGCGTTCACGCAGCCACCCCCGCATTAGTGGTGGTGTACGTAGGGAGTGTGTGGAATAACTCCAGGCGGTGGTGAGCCAGCCACTAGCCATGTCCCTCAGAGAGGACGCTGGTGTGGGGAGGCCGATCACACGATCAGCGGCAGCCCGGCGCGAAGGGGCCGAGGAGGAGGGGAAAGAGGAGGAGGGGGGCGTCAGCCCCCACACATCACTAGAATTCGTGGAGGTATGTCTAAATCGCGCCTGAAGGGCGTCTACGGCAGTCCAGTAAAATGTCCTTAAAATAATCTCTCCTCTGATTGGTTAAATAGGCACCATGGATGAATTTAAATTGGATGAGTTTCAGAGGCAGTGATCTTGGGCCAGACTGGGGTGCCCACCAGATTTGGGTCCATTCATGTTGGGGGATGTCTCGGCTCAGTAGGCTGTTCCAAAGCTTCATAGTGGGGGATCTGGAACAAACTTTATCGTCGTCCACCAAGTGGTGTGCCTCTGCTAATCAGTGAGCCCAACTTGTCCCCCTTCCCTGAACCCAGGAGCAATGCGTTAGAGCTTTTGTTCACTGACTTTCTGTGCCCCCTCCTGTCGTTATGATTTGTGCTATGTACCGGCCTCGTTTTGAATACCAATACATATATATGGTAATTTCATGTTGTCAGGATGTTAAATACAAAACATTTTATTGACCATATTCACGATGTAAGGATAATCGCAAAACGTCCAATTAAATGTGTGTGGACCTTATATGGAACGGTATATATCGTAGTATCGTCTTACCATGCAAACTTGAGTTGTAAGGGTGATAGTGGTGGTTGTTATGATGCTTTTATACTGGTTGTATTCAAAATGTAAAGATGACGATGATGATGGGGGTGAGTGGTAGTCATTGATGATGATGGTGGTGATGGGAAAGCGCTCACCAACGCACATCGTCAACAACAGTGACCTTGTCAGCAGACCAAAGGTGCGCGTGTGCCCACGACTGACTTACAATTTGACATCTCTCGTGAAAAAAAATGTAGAAGCTAATTAGTCGTTGTCAAGTATCCTACAGAATCCCTCGTCTGTTCAAACCCATCTCTAAAATAAACACTCATTAATAGCAAACATCCCTAGAGATCAGGAATTAGCTGAGTCCGCAGGGACCTCCCAGTCTCTCGGAGCCCTCAATGTAAATTGTGCGCACATATAAAGCCTGCTCACACACAGGGAGCAGACGCCTGCTCGGTAGCTGTAGCCTTCTGGATGCATGACGACCTATCGCTGCTTGCCTCTGTTCACGCACAGGTATGTATATATGTACGTGTGTATGTATGTCCATTACTATTAAAATAAGAATTGACGTGGGTGATTAGCAGTAGAGTTTGTGCGTTCGACAATATATGAAGTGCGTGAGGCCACGGTGAGTTTGCCGATGGTGGCTTTACAGGCAAGACGATGTAAGGTGTCAAGTCCACTGTGCTTTGAAGCCACAGCTGCTGCCAAAGGCCACCGTGTGTCGTGAGAGGGGAACCAGGTGATTAAGCATTTGACGGGCGCTAACGTGTCCACGGCATTTCCAAGTTTGAGGTCCCATTGATTGTGACGTCAGATGATGATGATGATGAGGCAAAAGAGGAGGTGAAATTGGGTAGATCTTCAGTGAGGTGCAACTTAGAGCAGCCACAAATGAGGTGACGATCCGAATACGAGACTGGGAATATTCTGAGTGATTTGAGTTGGCATTAATATTTGGGCTCAACTATTAGGTCCAAAATGCTGCCAATACCCGTATTTCACACGCGAGTTGGTCCACTGATGACCGCTGGTAGGTTGTAGGAGGAGAGGATGTCGCCAAGGCGGTGATTAAATTATACTGGTGAGGAGCTGGGGGCAATTGAAATGAAGAGCGATGATAAATCCCCAATTGCTGTAGAGGAGGAGGTATAGAAAGTCGGAATGCTCCATCGTAAAAGGTTTATGTTACTATCTGTAGGGCCGTACAGAATAAGAAATGAGATAGTTTGGAAACAAAGACTTGACTCGCAGACTGGAACTCGATATAATAATTATATCAATATAGCGTCCTTCAGCGAGGATCTAAACGCGTTATACAAGACAGAAAAGGATACTCAGCATAAAAATAACTCTTGAAAACGACAAAAATAAAAAAAATAATGCTAAAAGCCGTTTCCCGAATTAACTGAAAACTGAATAAACAAAAGTGTATACATACATTTTAAGACGTGTTTTAAAATGTTCACAGACTCGAGAGATCGTGAGATCTCGAGGAAGAGAGTTTCATCGTCTGGGGGCTATACAGGAAAAACAGGTGGTCCATCAACCGAAGCCTTTCTATAACCTGGGAGTGCAGGGAATATATTCATATCCATATCTTAGAGGCCTTGATGCGGCATATGGTTGAAGCAAAAATGTATCTAAGGTAGCCCGGGAAAATGTGGTTCAGAGCTTTGTAGGTTCGCAATACAATTTTAAACTGACTCCGATGTGAAACTGGAAGCCCGTGCAAGGAAGCCAACACAAGGGTCATATGCTCCGAATGTGTTCTGGTGCACACCCTGGCCGCCACGTCCGGCACATGCTGCGTATTGTCAAGTATCTTCGTAGCCACACCAGGGAGCAATACATCGCAAGTCAAGGAGAGATTAAATGAAGGCAATGAGCAGTTTTTCTGCATCTGAAGCAAAGAGAAGGGTTGAACTTTTCAAAGATGTAAAAACTAAATCTTAGTGACATTTTAACATTAGCCTCCAAGGCCATAGCGGGATCATAGATGACCCCTAGATTATTGACATCCCGTGAATACCTGGCCATCAATCGTAATGTTGAAGGGTGCAGATTTTTAAGTTGGTGGGGGAATCCAATTGGCATTTCCCCCGTTTCAACACTTCAATTGGAGGAGCATATGTTGAATCCAACTGTTGGTGGAAGCGAGCGCCACAGTGAGCATGGGGGGCACATGAAGGGAGATCGGACTCATTGTGTACGAAAATGTGGGCGTCATTTGCATAGCAATGAAACTTTAGGTCGAGAGGAACCCCAAATGCAGATTTCAAATCTCCAATGGATACGAGCTATTCCCGATAAGTCAGATACGATGTGAACCAGCAGGAAACAGTTTCTGAGACACCCATTGCACTTTCCAAGCGATCAATAAAATATTAAAAGAATACTGGGTGAGCCAGTCAGCAGTGATCAAAATGTCGTTCACAACTCTCAAATGAAGTGGGTCTGAGCGACATTGGACGCACAGCACGCGGGGCAATGAAACCAGGTGCGGAGAAATATGTCAGTGTGGTGGCAGTGTATCGGGGCATGCATCATGTTTCAGTGATGAGGTCAAGGAAGTAGCTGTTAATGCTGTTTGGATGAGGGCTGCTTTGTGTACGATGGATTGAGCTTTTTGTGGTGGGAAGAAATAGCTTTCGAGAAGCGGTGGGGGGAAGCAGTGAGAAGTTGAGGGGGTTACTGGCTACCGCCTGCCACCTCTGCAGGAACGTTGATGGTTTTTGGACGACAGGTCACGAGTACCCGAGTTTTGCCTTGAGGGGACGAGAGATCAGGGCAGACAGGAGCGTTCCTCAAGTAAGATGATCGGGAGATCGGAATGAAGATGGATGAGTGGTGGAAGGCTGGGATTGGTAACATTAAAATAGGTGACAAGGAACTGCTGCAGGTGGCATCATGCTTGGATGAGCATGAAACAACAAATGCATCTAAAATGTTTGTATAATGTATATCTTTTCTCTCCCTACCACAGGGTTTTGAAATTTCCACCAATGCCTCACGCCTGTAAGCTCGCTTGACACAATAACAAATTTGGTATAATTTTGGATTTATATGACATTCAGTTTTACTCACAGCGGGTTATCTGAATCATCCTGCGATCTCTTTAAGATTATCTCTTCTAAATATGATTCATAGAATCACTGGTATTTCTGGATGAGAATATGCCAGAAACGAACTCTACTTTGGGCAAATGCGCCGCGCCCTTTCTCCAGTTAAACTGCACAGGCCCAGGCCTCGAGCCGACGAACCAGGCCTTCGTTCTGTCCATTATCATCCTCCTCATCGTGGTCACCATCATTGGAAACCTCCTCGTCGCTTGCGCAGTGCTCCGCTTCAGGCAGCTGCAGACGCGCACCAACGCGGTGACGACATCGCTGGCAGTGGCCGACCTGATGGTGGGCGCCGTGATCATTCCCTGCAGCATGACACAGGAGGTCTATAGGTGCTGGTTCTTCGGACAGACCTTCTGCAGGATCCACTACTTCATGGACTACTGGTTCACCAATGCCTCCATCCTCCACCTGGGCTGCATCGCCTTCGACCGCTACGTGGCCATCTGCGACCCTCTGCGCTACCAACAGCGGGTGACCAACCGCACGGTGGTGCTCATGCTCCTGATGTGCTGGCTGTGCTCGGCGCTCTTCTCGGCGCCCATCCTCATCAGCTTGAGTGACGTTTTGTCACGCGGCGTCATGGAGAGAACGTCTTGCCCGGACGAGTGCGTGTTCATCGTCAACTTCGGCCTGATGTTCATAATAGGCATTTGCCCCTATTTCTTGTCCCTCATCACCCTGTCCCTGGCGTACGCCAAGATCTTCAGTGTGGCTCGCGTGCAGGCCAGTCAGATTCACGCTGCCGGTAAGCACGGCGCTGACTCCTCTTCCTCCGCCTCCATTGTGGGGGACGCCAACAGTAAACGCACGTGGCTGGCCATGAAGCGCGAGCACAACGCGACCAAGACCCTGGGCATGATCATCGGCTTCTTCCTGCTGTCCTGGCTGCCCTTCTACATCATCAGCGTGGTGGACGTCATCATACACTACCAAATAGACGCTGTGATGTGGGGGACGGTCACGTGGATTGGCTACTTCAGCTCGGCAGTCAACCCCATTCTATATGCTTCGTTCAACCGCCCATTCCGCAACGCATTTCGTGACATTGTCAGCTGCAGGGCGTTCACTTCCCGGAGGGGCACGTAACATTTTTGGAACGTAGCAGCAGTCGATATATACAGGATCATGGCGTCGTGATGCATTGGTTAGTATATTGATGGACTTGTAATGCCGAGGTGACTGGTTCATTTCAATGTCCCGGCATGGCAAATTAAACCTTGGGTGCTTTTCTTAAATCCCCACGCCTCTGTCTACCAACGACACCTGTCTTCTCATCAATTGGATGAATGCATCTTAATATAGGAAGGACGGCAGAGCTGGGGCAATTTTCGCCGGCTCACCACCTTGGCTCCTGCCTTCCCGCTCGTCTGTTGTTGCTCCGCGCGCTCTTCGTGACCGAACTGTGCGGCACCACATTACAAGTTGACATGTATAGTTATACGTATGAATAGGTACGACATGTTGTGGGGTAAAAAGTGGGTAGCTATCGCCTCTTTCAACAGTCATTAGAGAGGCACTCAAGCTCCCTTTGATGCACGCCCTTCTGCAAGCAGTGGCGTGAGCCAGCAACCGCAATGCTGCCCATTAAAACGTTTTTCCTTATATGAATGCAGGCAGACCCCGCCGAACGCGGGGGTTACGTTCCCGAACTGTGACGTGTTGGGTTAATCTGTGTTTGGCAAACAACAGACCTTTGGGAAAAATAGGTTTGCATTCCTAGGATCGAAATGATCACCCCCTCCCTATTTAACTGATACCGCGTGATTTCCACTCTTGTTATTGTACTAAAGAATGCTGAAGTCGCTCTCCATTGCTAGTGTGTGTACACTTCATTTTTTTATTTTTCCTCAACACAAAACCTGTCTCCATTACAGCGCTCTTCCAACAGTGGCACTCATGCCCAATGCTCACCTTGACTTCCCAGCCTGACGTTCGCCCCTAATACTGTCCCTTAAACGTGAGTGATTCGCCATCTAGGTGTCTACATGACTAGCTTCATATTCTTCATATGACTAACTTCCTCAACGACTGGACAGCTTTATTTATTCGGCAATGCTTGTGAACATTTGCGTTGCGCAGTTGTCCGTGAGCATGTTGATCATTCGCCACCTAGGTGTCCATCTGGCTAATGTACTCAGCGAGTGGACGGCGAGATGCATGCAGAAACATTTTAACATTTGCGTTGTGCCATTGTGCATGTTGAGTGTATGACATCACACGAAAAAACAAATGCACACAAATACACACATTCTTAATCCATCGATCTCATGGTCAACTGATTCACATCTTCCATCGGTTGCAGCACTCTCACAACACTTTTCGTTGTGGCAATTGTAATCTTAGTAGCGTCAAACCGCGCATAGCTGAAACATCACTCCCGTGTTCCGGTAAACAGACCTCATTGGGTAAACTGTGTATAGCCGAAACACGCGTTCGATAAAGCTGCATTGGGAAAAGTGTTCCTGTACTAGCAGCCTGCACGTGATTTGGACCTGACAGTCTGTCCCTCCTTCCTTCCTGGGATGACCATTTCAGGGGAGAGGATAGTAAGAGAAAAGCAGTATGTATGTAGGTAGCCAATCGTGCTAAACGCAGTCAGTTAGCCCTCAAACCTATAGTTGTCATTAGAGGCCGACCGACATTCGGTTTCGGTTTCAGCGACGAAAGTTGGCAAATTGCCACTTTCGCCATACTTTCGGGTTCGGTCGAAAGCCAATTTTTAACTTTCGGTCTGGTTCCGGTTTCGGCCGAAACTGATATTGACTTTCGGTCGTCAACCAAAGATCTGTTTTTTTTTAATATAACGCTAGTGCTACCTACATCTATCTCTCTGCCTATCGGCCGGTCAGTCGGCGCTAGGCAATCCTGCTGCTGCTGCTGACGTGTGTGTGTTTGCACACACACGTCAGCTGCAGCAGCTTGGGAGCGAGGTTACAGCCGCAACGATGGTCTGCTAATGTCAACAGACGGAAGCCTGCATTTGCATCCGTGGGTGGAGTCTCTTTGGCGGGACGACAACAAAGTGTCTCTGTTGTCTGTTCCCAGCCGCCTGTTCACCTTGGCTTATGTGTTGCGTTCGCTTAAGTTTACACGCGTGTTGATACCGAGATTCGAAGTCTGACAATATTGATATTCAGTTAGTTAATAGTTCCGTAGCGAATTAGTGATAACGAAATTACGAATCTGAGTGAAGTATAAAATTAAAGTTAATAAACGGAGCAGGAAATCACCGTGAAGAATGTCGAAACATGCGGTGTGCGATTTCTTCATGAAAGTCGATTCTGATCAAAGCAAGGCGAAGCAACCTGCTGGGCGAGAATGCGGAAAAACTGGTATTTCTTAACTACAGCATTCGTTTGTTTTGCTATAATTACTAAGAAAGCAACACCTAAAGATTTGATATTAGCTCTAGATTTATTTTTAATTAAAGTAGCATTGCATCATGACATATTTCATCAATCTTGTGTTCGGTAACTTCGGTTATATACCTTTCTGTTTCGGTCTCGGTCGAAAGTGTAGTTAAACTTTCGGTTTCGGCTTCGGTTTTGGCCGAAAGTCAATATTTAACTTTCGGTCTGGTTTCGATTCGGCTAAAACCAGACCGAAAGTTAAATATTGGTTTCGGCCGAAACCAGAAATGCAGTTTCGGTCGGCCTCTAGTTTTCACGTGATATATGCTTCATTCCGTCTTTTGTACAAACATAAAAAAACGTGTTCAAAGTGGTTGGGTGACTGTGCGATTTTGCTCTACCTCCAGTGCGAAACACATTCCTGCGGAGGGGGCTGGTAGGTACGTTGGTTGCTCGGTCAGTGGCCAGATTCAACGGCGGCGTGGTGTATTCCGCAAATATGCCTGACTCCACCCAGCCCCACCCCTCCCACGTGGACAGACATCCACAGACATACACAATTAATCCCCTGCCTCCTGTGAATTAATCGCGGTTGGGCTTCCAGTCCACTACGTTTCCTACCAGTATAAAGCCCGCTTACATTTAAATTTTCACTCAGCATACGCCTACATATGTCTCTCGATTAAAACTCTACAATCTATGAGGCTCATAAGGCGCATGCTGTCAGGCGATTATAACCACAATTACGTCAATTTCGTCGGATAACCTTTTTCAATGCACTCATAAGCAACAGCGATTTTTTTAATTAACTCACTGACTCTGATACGGCCATTATGAACCTATTCAATGCATTTTTTTTATCCTTCAAATACATCGCAGTGCCTCCGTGGGTCTTGCTGCATCCCACTGCGTCTCACTGCATATCTGCCTCGGTGCGTCTCATTGCATTTCACCGAGTCCGTGTTTCGCCATATCCCATTGTCCCGCTGCGCCCTCGTCTGGATGAACTATGTAACTGATTGCGCTCATCTGCAGAGTACATAATTGTTGGTTCCCCCTATGGATGTTTACAGAAACGTAGAAGTTGCATTGTCACATACACGAGATGGGCACAATAACTTAAAAATAAACACTGTACATACGTGGGTACAAATATATAGTAATGCACACGATATATATAGGAATTGCAATACTGGTACATGTGTATGTACGCATGTATGTTGAGTGGCAGGGTGGCCCGATGGAAAAACTTGTGAATCGCAGCAAGAAGGGTCTCGGGGTCGATTCGAGATTTGTGTGCCTGAATGTTCTCCCCCTGTTTTTGCAAATGTAATCAAAACATACAATATAACTGGTATTGGCCAAACATTCCTAACAAATTGTCTCCAAAGTACTCAATTGGGATTGCACGTACAAACATCGCTTCCCTACTGCGATGACTTAGCAATATCCTTTTGTAAAAAAGGCATGCAACTTTTTGGCGCTGGAACACTACCTGGCTGCTGCCTTCCCACTCATCTGGTTCCTCCTCTCTCTGGGCGGCCGTTACAAGTTCAAATTATTATTATTCAGTCAATAGCTCATCATTGTCATGAATCTCAAATATTACCAATCTGAAAAATCATCATCAATCACCAACCGTTATGAACATCATCATCATTAAAATCAAGTAATTCTGACGGAACAAACACCGCTTAAAAAAAATCCTCATCCAACAAAATCCCACTTCGCTCGTTGGTATCCTGCAAGGTCCCCAGAGATCCGATCCACAAACGATAGAACATCCCGTGTTCCTGCCCCCGAGTTCTCCGCTCACGCAGCGCAATTAACATGAGCCGGCACTTTATTCGCTAATAATCCACGGAGGGACAGGAGGGGCCAGGGGAAGGGGGGATAGGGGACGAGGGGTGGATGAGGGTGGGGAGGGATTAAATCGGAGAGAGTTTTGGGGCTATTCAGGCAGCACCAGGGGACACGAGGTGGAAGGTTTTTAAGCCCCTGGTTCGGCGTGGAAGGGCGTCGACTTTGGGAAGACTCACGGGCGAGAGGAGCGGCAGATCGGAGTCCACCTGCTGCTGCCAGGTTTGTGCGAAGTGAGTTCTTCAGAGCGCGGTGTTTGCACGTCTAAGTCGTCATCATTAGAAATACATCGTAATCATAATAAATTCAGTTTTATAAAGCATCTATCACATTGGTAGTCTCAAAGCACTGCACGTCAAAGGTAAAAAAAAGACAATGACACACCAGTAACAACCCAATCACAATACAATCAATGATGAATCAAAATGGAAACATAAGCAACGGACTATCATTGGAACTGCTATAAAACATGGTTTAAAATGTCACGGTCTCCCTGGAATGGAATCAATCAGAAAGAAAAGCCATCAAGTAAAAACATGTTTGTAGGCTTGATTTAAAATAATCGACGGATTTAGAGTTACTCCTGTGGATGGGATTATTGTTCTACAGATTTGGTGAATAACAGATTGGAATGGCAAGTAATCCACAATCAAAGGAGCATAAATTGTGTGGAGGGATATAGGGAAAGAGCAGGGTGCTGAGGTAGGCAGCTGAAAAACCATGTAGAGCCTTGTAGTTTAGTAGCAGGATTTTACATTTGATTTTGAATTGTACCAAAGCCATTGCATGAATGATAAAACACGAGTAATATGGTCGGGATGCGAGGATCTTTTAGAAGCCCGGGCAGCTGAGTTTTGTACATATTGCGGCTTTTTGATAAATGTCTTGGGTAATGCAGAACGCACAGCGTTGGCATAGTCGTTATTTGATCAAATGGTCAAGAGGGCAGGTAGTAGGTTTAGCATGAGTGGCTAGTTCATAGGGGCATTGTGGGGAGACCTCACCAAACTCAACAAGGGAAACTCCACTGACATTTGGAGGTATGTCTAAGGCTGAATTTGTGCGAACACCAGACATGAGGAATAACACTGGGCAATACAATCTTTCAGTGGGCAAATGTAACCCATATAAAGTACCATTACCACTATAAAAACATAACTTTTTAAATAAGAGAGTCTCATCATCTTTAGTTAATCATTACGGTCATCGTCGTTATACATAAATCGCCTCAATCATCGTTGGTATAATAATTAAAAATACATCTTCATGGCATTTCTCGTCATCAACGAATAAAGCAATCATTATCGCCATTATAATCAGAATAAATAGTCCATTCTACTAAATTATTGCGAATGGTAATATGTTCAGGAGATAAATGCCAATGTTGAGGTATGCTGCTGGCCACGACAAAAGGGCTTCAGGTGTTCCTCCTCCTTTGAAAGAGCGCAGACTAGTGGTTTACTATATTGTCCATCGTTTGTGTTGCATGGCCACAATCGCAGTGACATGTTTCTTTAATTTCTCATGTATGAAGATCTACGTATCGGTCAGTTTTGATGCAGCTGATAAAAGACGGGTATTTTTTTTTTAAACTATCAAAGCTAGGTGGTGCAAGGTTTGGGTCTTGAATCGTCCTCTTTCATATGGCTGATGTAGATGCAGAGCAACAACTACAATTTCACATTCTTGTGGTCTTGCCAGACAGCCGCGTCAGGAGCAGCAGAGTATATTGTTGTGATGTCTCCTTCGCATTAGTGGATCGGGCATTGCGTTGTTACATGTTGTATGGTCTGTTCTGGATGACCACAGTCGCACAATGGATTTATTTATTTTCCATTTGTGCATCAGGTGGTTTAGGGTGGACCATGAGCTTCGTGGATGGTTAAACAGAGGGATCTTCTGCGTTGGGTCTTTCACAAGGTGTTTGTTTGTGAGTTCTTTTGAACTCCATTCTGCTCTCCCAAGCTTCATCGGGGTTAAACTTGCATTGTTGAAGGTCCAAAAAGGGCTTGCGTGACTTCAAGTGATGACTCTCGAGACGTAATTTAGGTTCTGCTGAATGGGAAGGCGACTGTTTTCCTCGATTCACAAGACTTACCGGAGGATTACAGCATTGCAACAGATGGGTGGGGGAGAGAAGTGGGACAACATCAACAAGTCGAGGGATGACTACTTCTGGTCCATACTGTTGCACAGTATTCGGCTACAGAGTATACAAGGGCCATCGTTGATGTTCGTAGCACTGGTGCTGATGCTCCTCATCTTGTGCTTGCCAGTTTCTGGACCAGGTTGACCCTTGTTTTGGTCTTGGCAGCTACCTTTATCAGATGCTAATGGAAGGTTAGCATAAGATTCAGCTCCACAGGTTCGAGTGGAGTTTTGTCACACAGTGTTGCCGCAGGTCCCTTTCAGAGTGTGCTTGCTGCTCCTTTTAGATGAAATTCAGGGACTGTTGCTTTGTTGTGTTGATTTGGCTTGAGCCTCCATTCCCAGAAATATTCCCCCATGGTGTTTAAGTCTTGGTTCAGAGTAGATTCAATGTTGTTGAAATTGGCTACTTGCGTTACCAGGGCAAGATTATCCGCATGTACTAATTTGCGTGACCCGGTTGGCGGCATGTCTCTCGTATAGATATTGAAGAGAATTTCTGCGAGTACTGAACCTTGTGGCAACTCATCGTTGAGGAACCGGGGTGAGCTGGATGTCACACATTTAGACATACAGTTGTCTATTGCTCAGCATCATCCATATCAGGCGTATTGTTTGGAGGCAAGGAATGGTCCCTGCGAACTTTAACATCAAGCCCTTAATCCAGACTATGCCGTAGGCTAATGACAGGTCTACGAACGATGTGCCGGTCTTGGATTTCTTCTGGAATCCGGCCTCCATGCGTGTCACAAGGGCCAAAACTTTCTCACAGCAGCTGCGTCCAGGCTGAAATCCCGCTTGTTCTTCATTGATAACTGACTCGACAAGGGGGCTGATTCTCCGGAGGATGACGCATTCCAAGAGTTTAAATGTCCGGCACAGGAGGAATATTGGCCTATAGCTTCCCGGGTTGTCGGTTGCCTTGCTCTATTTGGGTATTGCAATGACCATTGCCTCCCAACATACTTTTGGGATGCATTCGGTTTTCATGGTTTTGGTGTAAAGGTTTACTAGACATTGGAGTCCTATAGGGCCTAAGTGATGGAGGAATTCTGGAGGGATACCATCTCTGCCAGAAGCCTTGCCTTTCTTAATTTTAGCCAGACCCTCCCTAGCTTCCTCTGTGCTGATGGCGGTGGGTCTTCTGAAGAAATTGAGGTGAATGTCTGGTGTAATTGGTGATCTCTTGCTTGATGTTTTTTTGTCAAGCGGTCCTTTTGTGTTCCCCACGAGTTTGGAGGCCAGGATTCTTGTGGTCGGTATTACAGTGAGGGAAGAAAAGTATTTGATCCCCTGCTGATTTTGTACGTTTGCCCACTGATAAGGAAATAATCTGTCTATAATTTTAATGGTAGGTTTATTTTAACATTGAGAGACAGAACAATACCAAAAAAATCCAGAAAAACGCATGTCAAAAATTTTATAAATTGATTTGCATTTTAATGAGGGAAATAAGTATTTGACCCCCTCTCAATCAGAAAGATTCATGACTCCCAGGTGTCTTTTATATAGGTAACGAGCTGAGATAAGGAGCACACTTTTAAACGGAGTGCTCAATCTCAGCTTGTTACCTGTATAAAAAACACCTGTCCACAGAAGCAATCAATCAATCAGATTCCAAACTCTCCACCATGGCCAAGACCAAAGAGCTCTCCAAGGATGCCAGGGACAAGATTGTAGACCTACACAAGGCTGGAATGGGCTACAAGACCATTGCCAAGCAGCTTGGTGAGAAGGTGACAACAGTTGGTGCGATTATTTGCAAATGGAAGAAACACAAAAGAACTGTCAATCTCCCTCAGCCTGGAGCTCCATGCAAGATCTCACCTCGTGGAGTTGCAATGATCATGAGAACGGTGAGGAATCAGTCCAGAACTACACGGGAGGATCTTGTCAATGATCTCAATTCAGCTGGGACCATAGTCACCAAGAAAACAATTGGTAACACACTATGCCGTGAAGGACTGAAATCCTGCAGTGCCCGCAAGGTCTCCCTGCTCAAGAAAGCACATACACATGCCCGTCTGAAGTTTCCCAATGAACATCTGAATGATTCAGAGGACAACTGGGTGAAAGTGTTGTGGTCAGATGAGACCAAAATGGAGCTCTTTGGCATCAACTCAACTCGCCGTGTTTGGAGGAAGAGGAATGCTGCCTATGACCCCAAGAACACCATCCCCACCGTCAAACATGGAGGTGGAAACATTATGCTTTGGGGGAGTTTTCTGCTCAGGGTACAGGACAACTTCACTGCATTAAAGGGACGATCGACGGGGCCATTACCATCAAATCTTGGGTGAGAACCTCCTTCCCTCAGCCAGGGCATTGAAAATGGGTCGTGGATGGGTATTCCAGCATGACAATGACCCAAAACACACGGCCAAGGCAACAAAGGAGTGGCTCAAGAAGAAGGACATTAAGGTCCTGGAGTGGCCTAGCCAGTCTCCAGACCTTAATCCCATAGAAAATCTGTGGAGGGAGCTGAAGGTTCGAGTTGCCAAACGTCAGCCTCGAAACCTTAATGACTTGGAGAAAATCTGCAAAGAGGTGTGGGATAAATCCCTCCTGAGATGTGTGCAAAGCTGGTGGCCAACTACAAGCAACGTCTGACCTCTGTGATTGCCTACAAGGGTTTTGCCACCATGTACTAAGTCATGTTTTGCAGAGGGGTTAAATACTTATTTCCCTCATTAAAATGCAAATCAATTTATAACATTTTTGACATGCATTTTTCTGGATTTTTGTTGTTATTGTGTCTCTCACTGTTCAAATAAACTTACCATTAAAATTATAGACTAAGAATTTCTTTGTCAGTGAGCAAACGTACAAAATCAGCAGGGGATCAAATACTTTTTTCCCTCACTGTATGTTGGGGGGTCTTGAATGAGGTGTTTACTCTGGGCGTCTGTGTTGTTCTGCTCCATTCACCAGCATTCTTCCAGATAAGGGTGAGATGCTGCATAGTATGTTTAGAGAATGAACCCATAATGGGGATCGGAACTTGAGCCGGTGCTGAGGTACATTGATGAGATCTTAGTTGATGGTTAGGTTGTTAATTTTTCTTGGATTCCGTCAAGTCGAGTCACATCAATCTGCTCCATTCGATCAAGTATTATTATTCACCATTATTTTTTCATATTCTGAAAACAGAACAATTCCATCATTGAATGACACCCATTGATATTACAGTAATAAAAAAAAAACAGAAACCAAAGTCAAAATCCTAAAATAGTTTCTGGTATCCAAAAGATTACTCAGAAGATAAATGCTCATCTTGTTTGACTACACACTGGGTTTTAAAATCGAAACATTGACATTCGAGTTAAGTCGGAAGTATGAATACTTGTCAATAACGTTTCTCAGAATTCGAATTAGCTTTGTTTAAATCTCTTTTGGGTTTTAGATCGGGTCGTAAGCGTGGCTGTTCTACTGAATGAAACGCCTTATGGCAATCTCCACAAAAGCTATTTTCATGAGCTCTTAATTGTTCTCATCGTATTTCTGAAATGGAAAAGTAACCACTTAAATGCATAATTGTATTTGTTGCTCGACATAAACATCAGCCAACGGAACTGCATTTCACTATTTATCTGTTGAAATATTTTTTCTTAAACCACCGCTTGTCATTTTGATTGGTTCTTGACTCGAATATTGCATCTGACACACATACATACACACACAGACACACGGCTTCACCATGGAAAATCGCACGGTGGGTCCTTACGACCACTGCATCAACTCCTTCTACCACCTCAACTGCAGTACACCCACGCTCTCTGTGCCAGAGCGCACCGCGGCGCTCAGTGCCATCACCACTCTCATCCTCGCCACCATCCTGGGCAACCTCCTCATCATCACGTCCATCGCCTACTTCAGGCAGCTGCAGACTCGCACCAACATTATGGCGCTATCTCTGGCCGTGGCCGACCTCCTGGTTGGTCTCACGGTGATGCCCTACAGCATGATGAAGGCCGTGTACAAGTGCTGGTTCTACGGGCAATTCTTTTGCAATCTGCAGTTCTTCCTGGACTATACGCTTACGAACTCCTCCATCATACACCTGGGTTGCATCGCCTACGACCGCTACGTGGCCATCTGCGACCCGCTCCGCTACCCGCAGAGGGTGACCAATCACACCGTGGTGATGATGCTGCTGATTTCGTGGTTCGGTCCTGCGCTCTTCTCCTCTCCCATCCTCGTGAACTTCAACCTCGAGTGGTCACGTGGCATCATCGAGATAATCTCGTGCCCGAACGAGTGCCTGTTCTTCGTGAGCACGTGGCTGGTCAGCCTAGTGGGCGTCTGTCCGTACGTGCTCTCTCTACTCACAATGTCATACGTTTACGCGAGAATTTACGTCGTGGCGCGCAGGCAAGGCCATCAGATCAGCTCGGTGAGTCTACAGGTCCATGCTCAACAGCAGCAGCAACAACAGCAGGTGGAACACACAAACTTTCGACAGAAGTCGACGGCGATGAAACGAGAGCACAGCGCAGCCAAGACACTCGGAAGCATCATCGGGTTCTACCTGCTGTCCTGGCTGCCCTTCTACATGGTGGTCTTATTCTTCCCCAATTTCCAAAACAGTTCGGCCGCGGTGCGAATCACCACGTGGATCGGCTACATCAGCTCGGCCATCAACCCTGTACTCTACGCATCTCTAAACCGTCCGTTTCGCAGCGCGTTTGTCGCCTTGATCAGCTGCAAGGTGCTTTCCTTCAGTAGGGCCAGGACAATGGACCTGTCTGGTGTGAAGTAGGTGATCGCGAGATATAATGTTTTTTTTATGTTTATGGAATACATAAGTGTATGTGTGTGTATTCCTGTGCCCCTGTCTCTGGCAGTCATCTCGGTCGATCAACCCATAACAGTTGGGGCTAATCCATGATCTTCTCACCATAGCGAGCCTTCAACACTTCGTGTGGCCTTAAAGTGCATTTAGCCTGGCACAAGTGCTGTGGCGAATGGTAGTTGTTATTATTGCAGTGTCTCTGTCTGTATCTTTATCTGTTGTTTCAGTGTTAATCTGGCTAGATCTCGATTTAAAGCTTTCGTGACTGCAATGATTCATCTTCTTTGGTTCTTTCGGTAAAGTCACGTAGAATGAGAATAAAATAATAAATTGATAACATAAAATAACACAATAATATTTTATGTTATCAATTTATTATTTTATTCTCATTCTACGTGACTGGCTAGATCTATTTGTTTGTCGCTAAAATTCTCTCTACCTCGCTATGCCTTTGTGCCTGATTCTCCTCGAATTTCTCTGTCTTTGTGCCTCGCTGTCTTTCATTGCGCATACATCTCTCCGTATTTCTGTACCCAATTTAATGCATGCCTATTTATCTATGACTGTATCTCTATATCCCTTTGTCTGTCTCTATATCTATCTGTATCGGTATATCTTTTTTGGTGTCTTTCTACTTTCTTTCCACGTCTCCGTCTGTCGATCTGCGTTCATTTTCTTTAGTATCTCTCCCGATCCTGACCATGTTAGAACGTTATAGTAATCGAATTACTTGTATAAAACAAGAGAACTGGAAGACCAGCATGATTCTGTCTACATATTTTGCACGAATGCAGATAATTGTCCCTTTGTTACCTCGTAACCTTTAATAAAATGAAACTGTGCTGTGTTAATAATTATCAGTTGCCATGATCAGTCGCCTGCTGGGTGAAGGCCTCACCAATATGCCGTGCCACCTGTTGCGAACCTGTCCACTGAATGTGAGGTTTCAAACGTGTACCGATTCTCAATAAGAAAAAAATGTAAGAATTTTACTAGTAAAAATGTAAGATAGCTCGAAATGTCTATTCTAACAATTTTGAATCACAAATGTGTTCATGCAAATATGTTCAGATGTTTGGAAGAAAAATACGCATAAAAAGGTCTGTAAAATGATAAACACATGAGTGTACGTACGTTTACACCTTTAACCTAATAATTTGAGGTTAGCATACTTTATATAAGTTGTAACTAAATTAAATAAAAATATTAATACCTGGGTAAGGAATGCTGTATTAACAAAAAGTTGGTTCACTAATGCTTGCTTTCGACTGCTTCGTTATTTAAGTGTTTAATTCTGCCTTCTTGGGTGTTAAGCTGTTCCTTTGTTAAGTATCCTCTTATCAACAACCCGAATGATGATGGTGGACAACGATCATTATGATGCACAATCAGTTTATTCATGTTCAATCTGTAAAGATAAACACGCGTAAGGATAAAAATGGCAAAACACAATGATGCAGTATCCTCTTGACAAAGAGTCTTGAGATTCAGCAAGGCGTTCTGGAATATCATCATACATTATCATCATAAACATTATCTCGTATGGTTGTATGTACATTTATTAGACATTAAATGAGTGCATACTCTTTGGTTCTTTCGGTAAAGTCACGTAGGTAGAAATAAAACAAAATAAATCACGATGTTTCGAACGCAACACAAGCACCGGTCTTCAGGTGAAAATCGCTATAGCCGCGATGTCTTCTGCGAGCAGCATGATGTCTGCTGCCTTTTGAAGAGAAGCTGTTACCAGCAAGAGTTTACGTAAGTTTTTGAGAACAAAGGTAACTGGAGTAGTGTTACTGGGGTATTAAAGTGAAAAGGTAATAAATAGCGTGCCATGTTCAAGGAAATGAACTTTGATTAGCATGTTGGATTATAGTGCAAAGTTAATCAGCTTCCGTAGCACATACGAGCTCAGATCAGCATGTAGGATTAACAGATGTATTTTAATGAGAGAAGCATGTTAAAGTTAATGAGAAAAGCATGCAAAAGCAAATGAGCGAAGTTAATGAGAATGTCATGTTAAAGTCAATGAGAGATGAGCAAGTCGATGCATGTCCTTGTGTGACAAAAGCAGCCGTGTTAGCGATCATGAAGATGGCCGTGCTAACGCGTAAGGGTGCAGAGCATGCTCCTGCTGTGGAGCTCGCTTCTACGGAGCTCGCTGCTGCACAGCTTCGCTGCTGCGGAGCTGGCTGCAAGAAGAAGACTGGTCAGACCAGGTTACGGAGCTGGTCGCTGCGCTGGTTAATCACGTCCTTCCAATGGTTGCTCAGCCTAAACCCGTCTTCTCGCTTGAAGTTGTCTCTGTTTGTATATCTGTATAGCTTCATGTACAAATCTTTGAAGGTAACCCGAAGGTTTGAAGAGTACCTTGGTCTCGGAAAAAACAATATCGTGCGAGCCCACAGCATTTGTGTGGGCTACCGTCCCCCGCCACCACCGAATTGTCGGGGCCGTTGCCCCCCGACTCCCCCGTTACATTCATACCACTACCCCCCGGCTGTTCTTCGCCCCCTTGCGCCCCCGACTTTGCGGCTGCCCGCGTGGTCATGTTTCAATTGGTGGCTCGTACGCTTTGCGCTTACGGCGCGCTACGCAAGATCGGCGGCGTGCCGCGGTGAGCGTGCTCGCGAAGCAAGACTCCGTCCCGCACGGACACAGATGGGTATAGTGCGCCGACGCGTGAATCTGCTCCGGTTTGAAGGGCCATTTAAACCATCGCGTATCTACGCACACACCCGGCGCTTAGCTCGCTACCTCGCTATAGACAACCGCGCAGGTACGCGACTGCAAAACAGTCGCACAGGTACGCGAGCGCTACGTACTACCATAAACAGTCGCGTAGGCACGCGCACGCTAAGCACTCCGCCTCGTTTTAAACAACCGTGCAGGCACGCGAACACAAAGCACGCTCCATCCTCCTCTTCACCCTCACAGAGACCACACGACGCAGTTTATCCCCCTGCTAGCTATTTTATTTACCGTGAGTCACCCGTTAAACTACGCGTGATTGTGTGGGTCAGTGGATGCCAGCCTATTCCGCTTGGGATCCTAGACTGAATTTACTCTGCCTATCGCCCCGCTTTCTACCCTCGGTAAAATAGCCCAAGCTTACCTCTCTTCTACGTACAGTTATTCCTACCCTGATGCGCTGGAAGCTGTTGAAGGGCGATGCGGTGGGTCGTCTCCGTAGAGGGTTGAGCCTGGCTGCGCTGAAGCTCGTCACATGGACGACTCGACGGCTGACTCCAATGCTCCGTAGACCACTGCTCCCAGCCTCCGCATTTTATCCACCCTAAAGGCATTCCGTTGCTCTTGCGCTTGCCCACCCGTGCCCCTTTCATATTCGGGTCTATATACCACCTATAACAAACGGCATTCAGATGCGTCTGCACCTGTGCCATCATGTCCATTCAGAGGTCTGGCTATTCCTGTCCCTTTGTTATCTAGATCCCTAATCCTACCTATAACAAAGGCGTCTCACTGTTCCCACACTCCATGCCGTGTGTGTGTGATCTCATCCACGGTGGCTTTACAGCCCCTGCCGTGACTATGTAATTATAATATCAGGCCACGGCACCGCGGTGCTGGTCAGCCTCGGAGGTAGGTCGCCCAATTCCCCAGCTGCAGGAAACCCATTAGGGGCTTCTGGATGAAAACCTGTTGGCCAGGTGACCCACCCCGCGGGCCCTATGTGGGGCATGCGTGTGCGGGGTGTGCGTGTATTCATGCGGGGTGGGGGGGGGGGGGCGGCGAGGGCGCGCAGCGTCGGCGTCGTCACTCCCCGGTGGCGGCGTCATGGCAGTGGGTACGGCCCCGACGGAGCGGCTCTGCTGCGGCGGCACCACACATTATAACAATGGTTAGCTATGGCATAGGTATTGGTTCTGCTGTGTTTCAGATCTTCCTTGTGTTCGCGAACCCGGTCCGAGATGTCGTTTTGTTTCCATAATATAACTGCTACCGCAGGTACAACTCAGTTTGTAGACCCCAGGGTATTGCATGTCAGGAATGACATCCTTCACAGATGGGTTCAGATCACAGATTTTGTGTCCTGTATTAAATGGCACCTGGATCTTGTGTTTGTTTAGGATTTTGGCAATCTTTTTGGTGACACCTGCTATGTACGGTAAGGTGATGGCTTTGATTGGATCCTCAGGTTGTCTCTCCATGGTTGGGGATACAGCTTAGCGAAGCTGTGCAGCAGCGAGCTCCACAGCAGCGAGCTCCGCAGCAGCAGCCAGCTCCGCAACAGCGAAGCTGTGCAGCAGCGAGTCCCGCAGCAGCGAGCTCCGTAGCAGGAGCAAGCTCCGTAGCAGCCAGCTCCGTAGCAGCGAGCTCCACAGCAGCGAGCTCCGCAGCTGCAGCGAGCCCCGTAGCAGCGAGCTCCACAGCAGCAGCCAGCTCCGCAACAGCGAAGCTGTGCAGCAGCGAGTCCCTCAGCAGCGAGCTCCGTAGCAGGAGCAAGCTCCGTAGCAGCCAGCTCCGTAGCAGCGAGCTCCACAGCAGCGAGCTCCACAGCAGCGAGCTCCGCAGCTGCAGCGAGCCCCGTAGCAGCGAGCTCCACAGCAGCAGCCAGCTCCGCAACAGCGAAGCTGTGCAGCAGCGAGTCCCGTAGCAGCGAGCTCTGTAGCAGGAGCAAGCTCCGTAGCAGCCAGCTCCGTAGCAGCGAGCTCCACAGCAGCGAGCTTCGCAGCTGCAACGAGCTCCATAGCAGCGAGCTCGGTAGCAGCGAGCTCCGCAGCAGGAGCATGCTCCGCACCCTCACGCGTTAGCACGGCCATCTTTATGATCGCTAACACGGCTGCTTTTGTCACACAAGGACATGCATCGACTTGCTCATCTCTCATTGACTTTAACATGATATTCTCATTAACTTCGCTCATTTACTTTTACATGCTTTTCTCATTAACTTTAACATGCTACTTTTGTTACATATAGACTGACATTAACTTGCAAATTTTTTCATTAAATTTTACATGCTTCTCTCATTAAAACACATTCTCTCTCTCTCTCTCCCCCGAACCGCTCTCATGCTAAGTTCATTTTCTTTAACATGCCACGATATTTATTACCTTTACACTATAATACACCAGTAACACTACTTAGGCTACCTTTGTTCTCAAAACGTATATAAACTCTTGCTGGTAACAGCTTCTCTTCACAAGGCAGCAGACATCGTGGCTATCGCGATTTTCACCTGCCAACGTGACTTTACCGAAAGAACCAAAGAGTATGGTTTCTTGCAGTCACGAAAGCTTCAAATCAAGATTAAATGAGTGCTTGAT